GACCCGCATCTCATTAAAAACAGCAAGAAAATTATACGAAGAAAGATATTACCGTGATATTTTTCTTCTTCGTGATACACGGCCGTTAATTGTAGACACGAATGGAATTATGACTTTCTTCCTTCTGAAGTAAAGAAGAGAATAAAGGGAACTGATAAAGAATGGGACAAAAGAGTACGGATACAATGCGAAGTGTTATTATTATTAGTTTTTCCTTGGATATTGTGCTCCATTCATTTTTTTTTTTTTTTTATATGATATTACAAGGAGACAGAAGCCATTATGTAGATAATAATAATAAGAAGAAGAAAACGAAGATGTAAGATGTAATGAGGGATTTAGAGAAAAAAGGAGGGATAAAAGAAGTAATAAAAGACGGTTGTATCGTGAAATGTTTAAATTTAATACCGAAATTCCACGTGTTGCTATCCACGAGACTTTTGGATTTCAGCCAAGTAAGTGTCGTTGATTATCTGGAACCTTACAGAGATATCTACTAATAATATCCTGTCAATTCTCGTATCCTGATCGCGATAATTCGATCGAAATTTTGTTGATGATCATTTCTGGTAAATTGTACATCGAGAACACAATAAGAATTCGCGTTTCTAGCAATAAAATTATTCCAACACACGGTGTTTTTTATTTATTTTAAATATATATATTTTTTTGACGACGACGATCGAATTTAATCTTGGCAATATTGAAATATCGATGAATGAAGTTAATTGCTTTGTAAATAATTTTCAAAATATTTGATCAAAGCATTCGTTCGTTCCATATTTACATTTAATTGTCGTTTACTCGTTTCTCAAACAATGCGAAAATAAATTAACGAGCGTTAAAAGGAAATGGTAAAGCAAATGGTTGAAACGTTAAGACAATTGTTCCACGAGTAATTGCTAGGAAAGAAAATAATGGCGATCGATCGACCCTCGTTAATCGACATTGCGCGAATTTTTTCACAGAAATGTTTCTCATACTGTCATTTACTTCTTTCCTTCCTCGTTAAGAATTTCTAAGTGCAAGTCAAATGAATCTTCCATACAATTGTCATTTCTTTTTAATGTATGCTTAATAATAGGACAGATATCGAAATAAAATTTTTCTTCTCCGATCTTTTAATGAAGACTAAGTTCGTTAAAAATTTGATATTTAATAGCAAAACATTTATTTTCAAATTCTGTATAATTACTGTTTCACATTTTTTATTTCAGAATTTACAATAGAAAATTGTAATGCGAAAGGCCTCGTACATTGAATTCCATCATGACTATAATGATTAATATTTTCACATCAAATTTGTGGAGAAAATATAATAGTTCAAGAAATATGTTTCACAATTCTTATCCCGTTGATCAGTTCTGAATATTCTGGAATAATTTATGACTTTTTACGTAACAACATCGCATTTGAAAAATTAACTCTCTCTAGCCTGTGAAATAATATCGATAAGGATGCAATTTATATCATCATTCTCGAATTATATCACCCTCTTTCTCATCTCGAAGCTTATCGAGCGATGAACAAATCGAATGTTCGAAATTTCGCATTTCCTAGCAGATTCTCGGCTATCATCTTCAGTTCAGTTTGTATATTAATACAAATTTCGATGAACTTTCCGATGGAAAGGGCAACGAATAATATTTCAGCGCATTGATAGAACCGCGGATAAAATCCTTTTTCATTGGATACCGATAATGATTCCCCGTTTAATGAAACTGGAGAATACACGAAGCGTGATAAACGAAAATGAGATACCAAATAAGACGAATTTTTCTGATAATGATACTTTTTCTGAATACGTTCTCGAAACGATAATGATTATTCTTTAGAACAATCATTAGGAAGTTTAAATGAAAAAATTTAAATCGAAATAAAAAGTTCGTATTGTTCGTTTCGAATTTTAATTATTATTCTATTAATTTTATAATTATTGAATATTGTTGAAGAAAATTAATTTTCCTCGAGGCATGGATATATTTATATATATATTTGTTTATTTTTAATTCTTAGTTTTAATTCTAACCACATTGCATTTTCGTAGATTCTTATATAAAATTTATACGAATATGACTAAATTTTCTTTATTCCTTAAATATCGCTATATTTCGTGTTTTTTTATCATATATTCCGTAAGTTTTTAAAGAAAGTACAAATTTCAAATTTTGTAGTAAGTGCAAAAACGAGTTGTATCCGCAATCTAATTATAAATAAATTCCAGAACGATCAAATGAAATCAACATCAAAAATATCTCTCTTTATTTTAACAGAAACTTGTACTTTTTTAATTTAAACTTTGCTTTGGATATTGTTATCCATTCGAGTAAATAAAGATTTTCTAGATAAAATCCTATTTTTTTTTTTTTCGGAACAAATAAAGCGCCAAGTTTGCCAATTACCAATTTTCTCGGGCGATATTTTACATATGTTCAGAAAAAAAAAAAAAAGGAGATGAAATTCGAAAATGGGCCGTGAAAACGTGACGCACAAACAGCGCATCGTATTTACGAATATGAATCGAGATTCTCGTTGCATCCGTCCGCTATGGTTGTAGTTGATACGAGCTTATGCAAAGTAGCGAGCCGAGCATAGAACGTGCCGCTTTCATGGAAATCAACCTCTTCCAATGATTCGAGTCGGGGGAGAAAAGTTGCATTTTTTAATGGAACGTGCCGTAATGGGAGATCTTCCGTGCAAAATCCATAAAGCAAATTGGAAACGACATGGAAACCGGAAAATTTACAAATGATAAAAAAAAAATAAAATAAAATAAAATAAAATGGAGAAACGAAGAATTTTATCTGATGGATATATATTTATACTCATTCAGTGTGATTCAGAACTCTTTTTTCAGAAATCATTCTTGATTTCTCTATTCTGATTTTTCTAAGAACAAATTCATATTTTTAAAGAATCTTTTTCTCCATAACACTTTATCTCGTCGCTTACTCCGCATCGTCTCGTTTATCAAATCCTTATCATTCATAATTAAATTCTCAAAACTTAAAGTTATAATATGCCTCCAAATTAACCATTGTTAAGCATTTGAATATTCTCATCCATTCATCACCCGCGATACCACTATCCCCCATAAATTATTCCTAAGCTGAGCAACATCAAGATCCTTAACAATAGATAACTTGTTGAACTTGTAAGCACAACTAAAACCTTAATCCTCTTACACAAAGATCCCTAAATATATATATATGTAATCATCGCTTGGCCTCTCTCTTATTATTTAAATTACTTCGTACATCCTTAATAAAATTTCTCTTCTCAAAGGAGTACGATTTAAAAAAAATTAACGAAACAATCATCGAACCTTAAACCTGATCTCTCACGTTCAGATTCTCCAACAAGATTCTCGCTTCTGAACTCGATTCTGGCTCTCGACGAATAACGGAGCGAAAAATCAAAACGAATCCGTCCAAATCTGTTACAGCAATTGAAACGTTTAACCATCCAGGACACGTTTAGCTTAGTTTCGTCCATTCGTTCCCGTAAACATTCGAGAGTTACAGGGAACACCTGACGCGATTTCGCGAGGAGATCTCGAGTTTCTCGACCTGTTTGCTCAGTTTACGAACGTGGTGGTGAGCTTGCGGTTTTCCAAAACGCCAAACTCTCAAGTCGACACATAGCTTGTTCACTTCCCGTTTCTCTTCCCTGCTCCCTCCCCCTTCTCCTCGAATCGTCAACGAGATTTATAGCTTTCTCAACCTCAAAATTCCTCTTCTTGTTCCCGTGGATCCGTATTCCGTCAGAAGTTGTTGCGTTGTTGTTCGAGAAGAAAATGATCTTATGCGTCTTTTGTAGAATAAGAGGCATGTATTAATAGGGAGATAAAAGTGACAGGATATGAAGAGAATTTATATTAAAGTTTGCTTACTTGCGCAAAGGAAAAATTAATATTTTGCTTCGCTTAAGAATTTTTTTTCTTTTTCTCCGTGATTGTACATCATTTTCGAATTTTTTAAATATTTTATATATTTTTAATATTATAAAACATCACAAGATATTAAGTTGATATTAAATTGTTAAGGTTCATTTGACTGAATAGGGAAAGTGTTACATAAGATTGCACGTAAATATCGCTATTAATTTACTTTCGAGATAATAAATTATTTGGAAAATTGCTGTATTATCTTTGACTTCAATTTTATGAGATTCACGTTAATCGTTACTAATCACTTAGACACATTTTAAGACTCATCTTACCTTAGAAAATTGTACAATCATTCAATATTGTTATTTATTTAGTGTATAGTGTATATTTCGGATGTTCCAGTTTGTTTGCGCAGGTTTAATTCAACGTTCTGCGTCAATTGTGTAATAATAAACGTGAAATTTCATCCGCGGACAGGAAAAATTGGAAATTGTTTGCAATAACAAGGTAAACAACTGTTTACTTGTTAATTATATATAATAATTATAGTATAAGTATAAGTATTATATAATACTCGGTTATTTAAATGAATAGTTAATTAATCGTGTAGAACATGTAATTGTTTAATATTTGCACGTATCCAAACACGTACGACGATTCTAAAATAAAAGTTTCGAAATAACGGACGAAACTTTTTGAGTCGGCAAAAACTGATTAAATTTTATTTGCAGAAAATTAATACATTTAAGAGGATATAAAAGCTACGATTGGAAAAGTAGATATAAAAGGCGATAAAGAGTTTGAAATTAAAGCGATTCAAACTTTTCAATCGCTCCCTTTCTCCTATATATATATAAATCTTATATAAAAAAAAAAAAAAAAAAAAAAAACTGCTACACAAATTGATTCTATTGTTGTCGATAATCGATTCGAAACCTCGGGCAATTTGATCACAAGGTTTTTCTTTTTTTCGGTATAAAGGCAAGAAAATTAATTTCTTCACGCGTGAAATTCCGTAAATCCTTTCCAAGAAATTCATTTTCAAAAGAAATCGATTCCGTGAAACCTTAAATCTTAAAAATCTAAAAATCCGTCTTTCCTTCTGTTCCAGATTCGTTCCGGAAAGCAGCATCAACAGTGCAAACCAGTGAGTTTCGAGTTATCGCCGGAAGTGCGATCGTTTCACGGCTGACGGAATGACGTCGGCCCCGTCCTCCGCATCGTCGTCGTCGACGCAGCCATCCCTCGTCTGTCCCTCGATTCCCGATAGAATACGCGCGCTTAACCAGTGAAAACCGATCCAACCCTTCGACACACGAACACCGAGAAATCTTGGAGGATTCTTTCGTTCCCTCGTGGCGATGATCCATCTTCCCTGAGTGATCGATCACAGACAGATTTCTGGTCAGATCCGCGAGATAAAGCGAGCGAAAAATCTCCACGACGCAAAGAGAAAGAAGAAGAAATAATAAGGAGCGGTTTCGAGAAATTTTTTTTTTTTTCGAGGAATACAATTTAATAAACAAGTATCCGACAACAAGATGAACACCACGATGACAAGCACGATAACTACCATGATAAGCGGCACGAGTATCGATTACTCTCAGATAACGAGTCAAGAGGACTCGACTATCCAGAACTGCGAGGCCGATCTGCCGATCATTTCGTTGGTCAACCAGATTCTTTACTCCATCGTCTGCATCGTCGGCCTCCTCGGCAACACACTCGTCATCTACGTGGTGTTGCGATTCTCGAAAATGCAAACCGTAACGAACATGTACATCGTGAACCTGGCGATAGCGGACGAGTGTTTCCTGATAGGTATACCGTTCCTCGTCACAACGATGAGTCTGCGCAGTTGGATATTCGGGAAGATAATGTGCAAGGCGTACATGACCACAACAAGTATCAACCAGTTCACCAGCAGCATATTCCTCTTCATCATGAGCGCGGATCGTTACATCGCCGTTTGCCATCCGATCTCCTCGCCTAAAATTCGGACGCCGTTCATCTCGAAGGTGGTCTCGTTGACGGCCTGGGCAACTAGCGCGCTCTTCATGATACCTATATTCCTGTACGCGAACGCCATGGAATCGGAGAAAGGGATCAACTGCAACATCTACTGGCCCAACGATCGCGGAGGTCACACCACCTTCACATTGTACACGTTCATCTTAGGCTTCGCCATCCCATTGATGCTCATACTGATCTTCTACTTCCTCGTGATCAGGAAATTGCAAACGGTGGGGCCGAAGAACAAGTCGAAGGAGAAGAAACGATCTCATCGCAAAGTGACGAAACTCGTGCTCACCGTGATCACGGTTTACGTTCTGTGCTGGCTGCCCTACTGGCTGATGCAGGTGGCGCTCATCTACACCCCGCCCAAACAGTGTCAGAGCAAGATCACGATCACCAGCTTCCTGCTCGCCGGTTTCCTCAGTTACAGCAACAGCGCGATGAACCCGATCCTGTACGCGTTTCTAAGCGATAATTTTAAAAAGAGTTTCTTGAAAGCGTGTACCTGCGCCGCTGGCAAGGACGTGAACGCCACGTTGCACATCGAGAACAGCGTGTTTCCCCGCAGGAACAAGGCGAACGCGGACAAGCTTCAATCGAATCGGTTGGTCGTATCCGGCCACTCGAGGCTGGAGTTGGAGGACGAGGACGCGGAGAGGGGGCTGTTGATCAGCAAAACTTCGACGACCACGGTGACCATGACGTCACGATCGAACATCACCATAGGCAATGAGCCGAAGGAGCAGGGCCAGAGGGAGAAAGACGCGTTGAAGAACGGGGTGCAGCTGACGTTGTTGACTCAAGTGTAGACGAAGGGTGGGTGAGGGGGAATTCGACGATTCAACAAAGTAGTGTGGAAACAACGGTCTATAATTCTTCTCCTCGTCGCGGTGGACCAATGAGCCTAGGATTCGTCGCGCGTGGAGAAAGAATCCCTCTTAGAGGAAAGAAAGGGGAGGGAGAAAGGATTTGTTTTTTTAAGAAGAGTTTTAATATCGTACGATATTAGAAAGGATTTTTATTATTATATCATCGAATTTTTATTCACATTTGTCCTCGTGATCGTGGTACCAAAAAAGTTTCTCGAGCGTTAACCGACTGTAAATGTCCGTTTCCCGTATTTATTTTCGAGCGGTTAAAAGGAGAAAGGACGCAGGAAATGGGAGGAAATCGGTTGAGAAATGAAATGAAGCGTTTCTTGACCCGAGCCGTTACTCTTCGATGGAAATATAGGTCAAGAGCAACATGGGTGTTTCGCGTAACTTTGCCAAGAACGTCAAACTTCTCGATATCCATAAATGCAGAGATATTGCGAACTAACCTCTTTTGGAAGAAGCTGAACAGGCGAGACTAATCTCCTTACAGGAAACCGTCGTTCGTGGATCGAGCATGAACGTTAATTGGAAAGTACAATCATCCCCCAATTTGCTTACATTGTTTCGAATTTAATTGTATCTTCACATTCGTGTATTCCTGTTAATAACATGAACGTTATTTCAGTGAAAATATTAATATATATATCGTCACAATATCCGTAAGAACGTGAAAAGACAAGTCGAAATTTATCTTCTCTATTTTCTTGACTTCCGTAAGTGAATTCGGGGAATGATTTGCACCAATATGCATCGATGTATATTCGTGAAACAATTTTGGAGAATCGATTTCAGAAGCAAACAAGAAAAAAAGAAAGGAATACAAAAATTTCCATCCGAAACAATAAAATATTAAAGTTACAGGAAACTTGACATTTTTGTGTAACAATTTCCATTCGTTCCTCCAAGATCGATCTTCCATGTCTTTCACGAATGCATTCCGCACACCTCGTATGAATTAACCAAGAAAGAAAAAATATATCTTGTATATACCATATAATTATCAACATAATCATCGATCGATATCGATCGTTTCAGCGAAGAGGAAACGAACGATTCCCGGTGCCAAACAAAAAACAGAGCCACGTTTCGAAAGAGGAGACGTGCGTCTTATCAGCGACGCGCCTTTTCACGAAGAATTCTATTCGATCCACGGGTCAAAAGAAGATCAACACGCCACATCCACGAGGGGAGGAACGAATTCTCTCCGGGGACAAAACGCGGCTCGCATAATCTTCTTCTTCTTATTTTCCTTGTCCTTCCTCCATTATTTCCACTCGTTCGACTCTCCTCCTCCTCCTCCATCCTCCACCCTCCACCCTCGTGACAACACGCGCGTTGCGCAGGAGAGGGGGGAAATCGTGGCGGGGATCGAGATCAAATTGTTTCCGAGACTCTCGAGAAGAATATCTCGCGAGCGATCTCGAGAGGTTTGCGGCCGCGTTTCGGGTATTTTATCGGCGTGTTTCGGATCGATTTAGTTGGTGGAAGATTTGGAACGATGAAATTCGTATGTAAATCATGGGACGGAGGCGAATATTCAATGACGCGTTACGAAGAATTTATCGGTACTAAGTTAGGAATTATTAAATCACGAATCGAATTCCTGAAACAGAGGATCAATGTATTATTGCATCGAAGTGAACACCAAAAGAAAAAAAAAAGAGAAAAAAAAGAAAAAAAATGAAGTTTATTTACTTGATTTGTTGGTGTTGTGTCGTTTAGATTAGATAGAGAATTGTGATTCTTATTTGACTCGATGGAAGTTTAAAAGACGAAAATTCGTGTGCATTACACCAATAATATTGTTAGGTTGTCCTAAATGAAAATGAAAGTAAAAATTTTGTGAATTATTGAAAAATAAGTAAAAAGTTTTTTAATTAACTCGTTACAAAAAAATTTGTTTGCAAGAAAGATAGTATAAAAATAGTACTTTTAAAAATTTTGTACAAGTCTGAGCGACACAGCTTGAGATTAAGAAATATAAATTTTGAAAATCTTTATTTCAAGTATTAAAGTATTACGTAATTACTTTCTGGACAACCTAATAAATCATTTCACGAGAATTGAGTGAATTCGATCAACTTTATAACTATCAATTGTCTTATGAAAGAACAAGAAAAAAAAAAAAAGAATCGTATCAATTTTCTGTACCTACATACAAGTCGTGTAATGTAAAATAAATTAATTAGCGCATAAATGTATAAAATCTCGAGAAGGAACGAGTTTGTATTCGCAGGTGACACGTTGAAAAATTGAAAGAAAATAATCGCAGGAAAGATCCATCGTGTTTTGAAGAACAAGAATCATTGGCTTTAATAAAGAAAGATCAATAAGAAATAAGTAAACTGCAACCATGATGTTACCGAGCGTCATTCAATGCAGTTTTTCAATAATTTCAATATTATATATATTGATTAATTTTAATATTAATTAATTTCAATATTATATACAATTGAATACAGATAAAAATATACTCGTGAAAAAATGGAATTAAGAAGGGAATTTTTATATTCATCATCATTGACGTTAGAGATTTCCTCTGAAAATTAATTTCAAAAAATGGTATTACAAGAATTGATATTTCTCAACAAATTAATATAATATCGAATGGTACCAATATTGGTATCATTAATTTCCATATTTCCAATTTACTATTATCAAATTTTCGAAATAAATTCGCAAACGTCACCGTTTCAAATTTTCAAAATTCCGATTCGTTCCAATTTTCAACGCGCAGCAATAAATTATCGAACGATGTAAATATTAATATATCTCAAATTTTCCAAATTCCGTTTTATTCCAACCACCAATACATTGATAACAAATTGTCAAAAGTACATTGTTGCAACTTCGAAACATCGAAACGGAACAATTCCTATTGGAACGAAGAATCCAATACGTCGAGAACAACGATCGAGCCAATTTAAACAACTGAGCCTAAGCTTTCATTCTGGAAACTCTGATTATTATACAAACGCGGCGTCAAAGAAGAAGACTTAAGGCTGTTTACACAATCGGATCAGTCGTAAAACGGGCTTTCAACGTATCACGTGCGAGCACAGTTTGTTTCGGCTCGCTAATTTCAGTCGACACACTGCAAGAAATACTGTAAAGAACGAAGCATTACGTGGCGTGTTTCTTCGCGATATCCACGGGGACGAGAATTTCAAAAAAAAAAAAAAAAAAAAGAGGGCGTAAAAAGCTGTAAAAATAATTATTTCGAACTGTCAGAACGAATGAGGGAATGAATCTAGAGACTTGTTCTTGTAACTGTGTGGTGAGAATGAGAATGAGAGAACGAGAAAATGTTCCTTGTTTTTTTTTTTTTAATTATCTATTGATTATTGGATCGTCGATACGAAAGGGTTGAACAATACAAGTGTAGTGAACAATGATAATGGTTGTCGATATTTAATTGTATCGAGCGATATAAGATATTTTTGAAAAATTTGAAATTGAAGTGAGAATAATTTCTCTCGATCATGATTGGCAACGTTATCTCAATCGATCTTTGTTTAATAATTTGAGCAGATTTAACACGGTATTACCAGCATCGATAACCATCTGTAACACTCCATTTGTGTTGGAGAAAAATTATAGATAACGTGGATAAAGGATATAAGTTAAATATAAAAAGCACTCGAAGGGGAAAAATTTTTGAAAAATTGTTCGAAAAATCTATCGTCGCGTTCTCGTGATTCCACAGGTGATTCCACCGTGAGAAACGCGGTATGAATTTTTATTGATACATTAAATTCGAAGATCTATCGAAGCAACATATATTAAAATAAAGTATAAATATTTTGCTTGATGCATAAGTTTCAAAAAAAGAAATAAAAATTCGTGGAATTCGTGAAAATATTTTTCCTGTATGTTTTGGGAATATTCTTCTAAAATTAAAAACAAATTATGATACAGAATTCAATTAAATCGAGATTATACATTATTTTATGTTCAATTTTACATATAATTTGAATATGTAATAAGATTTCCGGAGATGGATTTATTTAGTTAAACATATTACTGATAAATTAACGTTACACGATTACACAATCGAACGAACGAAAAAGTTGTTGTCATCACATCAAGACTTTATTCTCATCGTATCTATATCTTCATATTCTTTTTTCTCAAATTTTGTCGTTTTATTTTATAATTTTTTATTTTTACCGAGCTAAAATATCCTCAACATTTCTTTGTTTCTTTAAAAATACCACATAAATCACACCATTTTCCAATAACAAGTAAACCACAATGAAATTACTTCAGTTTTTTCCAATTTCAACGTCGCCGCTTCAATTTATCACACTTGTAAAACGGAAAAATATCGCGTGATATTTTCACGATTCAATAATTTTCGAATAACCACCGAGGCGATTGTTTGGAAAATAACGTCAGAGTTGTAAAAAAAAAAAAAAAAAAAAAAAAAAAAGAAGAAAGAAAAAAAAAGGAAAACGCGTGAAAAGAACAACGAAACGCTTTCACGAATTCGTCTTTTTTTTTTTTGGCTATTCTTCAGGGAAAATCCTCGGATCGAACATCGCCATACTTTCCCCATTTCTTTCACGGTTGTTTATTTATAGTAGCCAACTTCGACATGATTCTTCCCACCATATAGAGGTAATACCATCAGGTATCCCACGCTCTCATAACTTTCTCGCTAAGAACAATATCTATATATCAAGCCGATAATGATTCTAATAGCGGTCCAAGATTTTCCATTGGAACACGTTTCCTGATACAACTTTTACATCTCGAAGAGTATGATCGAGTATTTTGACCGATTTTGAAACAAAACGTTTGTTTATAAATGTATATTGATAATATTGATAATACGTAATACAGAGACTTGGAAATTTGAAAGGTCTTTACAATAATTGCTGTTTAAGATTTTTGAAATATTTATTTTGGAAACTTTTATGATCTATTATTGC